TGGTGAGGACAGCAGAGATCTCATACTGCGTGCATCAGCAATCCAGGAAAAATACAATCAACCAAAATCTTGTCAAAAGGTGCGGATAAGACCTCATACCTTGTGGACAAGCAACAACCTCCTACCAAGTGCATCAGCACGGTGTCAGCAAATAACAACCAACCAACAATGCCTTCAATTAAAATCTGGCCAAGGGGTGTGGACAGCATGTGAAAATCGTAACCTCTCCATTAAGTGGCCCTTCTTGTTTCCTTTTCACAGCCTGAGCCCAAGACCAAAACAGGCTTCCGGCGAAGACCTAGATCTGGACAAAAGATTCAGGTGTGGTCTCACCTTATCCAGCCGTCGTGCCCCTGCTGCATTCAGATATACTCTTGCCATAGCGTCCTCATTGGCAAACCTTGTCCGGATGAGGGATGCAACAACAGAATCTGAATTTTGTTCATGACACAACAAATTTAACATTCATTACCATTTGTAGGCTTGGCACGGGAACTCGCCGTGGAAATTATCAGATGTAAACCAAGGAGGGAGGCCAACAATGATTTGGATGGGGATAGAATGGCTGGTATTAAGTTGGGAAAGGCTACAACATGAGCCCCAAGAGGTTTTGAGACGGGTTGAGGTTAACAGAAAAATTAATGATAGAAAATCCTGTGGTAAAAACTAAATCGCTGAATAAACCCAAACAGAAAAGGAAACAGATGAAGACAGCAGACGAAACACAGATAAGGTACATGCTCTCACCTTTCGGTGTTGCCACGGCGACCCTGCCCGTCCCGACAAAGCTGTCTGTTGAATTGAGGAGACTATATCCTTGTGAAACGAGGTAGATTGTAACCTGGCCGTGTGGAATATCGGAGGATGTACTAAGCCTCCTGTCAAGTTCTGCAGAAACATTTAGAATGCAATGCTGGAGAATTTCAAGGGTTTTGCTACATTAAAACTAACTTTTCTAAATCTATCAGAATCGAAAGGCTGGATTTCCAAAGACCTGTGTAAATGTTTCAATACTTCTGATCTCTGCCAATAAAAAACTTCCAAAGGTCTTGATGATGTTCAACGTTAGTTAAAATACAAAGATTGTGACACAATGTAATATTACTTTTTTGATATTGATTCATTATAAACCTTTCCATCTGGCAATTCAAAACAGGTGACTCCTCTAAGTCAAAGCACATCCCAGACTCACCTGCTAACGAGGAGCTTGTCCCAAGGACCTCCTGATCTTTGAAGGAGCACAATTTCCAGTCGATGGAGTACTGTATGCTCAATAACGACATCTGATCTGCTAAAACAAAGAAAAAAAAACTGTCTATGAACTTTAGTTTGGACAAAGAGAGGTTTAGCAAGCCATTTTTCTGTTGCAATTGACTAAGGTTTTGGCATAATGTGTGAAAATTCCGATCTACACATTTTAGGGATGACCTACCGGGTTTATGAGTCTACGTGGCCTATGTACAAGAAAACTATGCACAGCATTTAGCCAATGACAGTGCCCCAAACCTGCCAAATCAATATACAACGTACATATCCTACATCTTTTCAAACATACCTGACTGCAACAAAGCATTGAGCTCGGCTTGGAAGTTGTCAAAGTCTTGTTTTTCTTCCTGAGTCAAGCACGAAATGACGGTGACTGGGATGAGGCAGTTAGTCTGCAAGAAGAAGAAGTGTGGCTTGAATGATAAGAAAATTTCTCTTTAATTCTGGACTCAGTTTAAGAACTCATAAACTGCACTTTCCATACTGGATTCACAATATACAAACTGGACTTTCTTTAAGTTATAATTTGAATTTGTGCTTAACTGAGACAAATTTCACAAGTATCCTTTAAAAAGTCCACAGCGTTGAGGGGATAGCTGGGGCTCCAAAAATCCAAGGTGGCTTCAACAGCCGACAGAAAAAAATGCATGCTACCGTCACTGCGTGTACATGCAATGTGTATACAAGGGAACATAAAATGAAGTGATTTTCCACCTGTTTTGTCGGTAACTCCTGTATTTCCTGGTAAGGGAGACTAGCTCTGTATGTTGTTGTTGACAGCCACCATACTGGGATGCCGAAAACCACAGCGATGAAAGCTACGGCCAAGGCAGCGTACATTGGACTTCGCACATCCTCTGACACATGTGAAAAAAAGAAAAAACATTATCAGTTAAGCTTTTCAAGTTCCAAAGGTCCCCGTAAAATTCACAACTTGAAACAGCCGCCCCTACATTCTTCGAACATTCTACAAAGAACAAAGAGCAAAGAACTTGTTAAATAATTTCTCCACCATTCCATTATCCATTATAAGTATGATGAACAAAATAGTGAATAATGAACAAAACCAACTGAAGCTCTTGAAACAACCTGATTTTCTTAGTTACAGTGTATTCAAAATAATCAAAATTTATTACTGATTTCAGAACGTTATTTCAATAAACTGGAAATGACTACAGGCAGATTTGAAATTGAAAGATGTTCAAATTGCTTTGACAATTCAAAGAATAGGCCTACGTGCTGTTACACTGGCACACACCAGGAATCACCCTTTTAATACATATCTTATGTGGCACGTCTTCGCCACCATAGATTTCAAAAGCCACTAGCTACCTGCATGGAAGGAGTGAAAATTGTGAATGAATGAGTACATGTATGTGTACGAGTCTCTGTCTTGTTTTTCTTTCTCTTCCATGTGTTGATGTTCCTAAAAGGAAAACTCTTAGATAACACTTGGGGGACAACTTGACCCGGGGACAATTTGACTTGGGGACAATTTAACCCGTGGATGACTTGACCCGGGGACGACTTGACCAGGGTTTCAATTCTGGGGGACGACTTGACTCGGGGACGACTTGACCTAGGGACGACTTGACCCATTTCCTTTATTGAGATGTTATAGGCCTAAGACGAAAACAGTGGAAGCAGAATGCATCATTTCTGTCACATTTACATGCACTTGATCCTGTTGATTGATACGGAATAATGCAGCATTACAAAGTTGATTCCTTCCTCATGAGTCATGGCCTCCACGATCCACCATGCGAGATGCACAGCTTGTACTAGGCCTACGATTAACATGTTATGTCAGTTATGCTGTTGGGCTTGATCACATTTGCACCTTGTCAGCTTGTTAATGTTATCCACTGTTCTTCTTCTTCTTGGTACTGCAAACAAACTCCTCAAATGGGATATACTGTTGCAGGTGTGTCGTGGCCAGTGAATAATAGTGGGCCTCCCTTATAAACGCAGTTAGGTCCATGTTAATTAATTTTGTCTGTAGCATATCAGCTGTAGTTACTTGTCGTTAGTACTTGTCAAATATGATGCCATATTTGGCCTGTTTGGCCGAGCCTCGGCCTGCATCACATGTCATACTCATGGTAGTACTACTCGGAGCTGTAATGTGAAACTTAACTAATGCAGGAGACATAACTCAGGCCTAACAACACTAGCCTCAGCTCAAGCGGCAGGCTAGCCCCACCAGTGTGGCACGGATTCTCACTCCCGCTCTATCCTTAGCTTAAGCATGTTAAGGAAGGAGCGGGGGTGAGAGTCCGTGCCACACTGGTGGGGCTAGTACTAGTGGCAGGCATATTAATAATCATGCAATAATCAAGTGGAATTCACCCACATTCTGCTTTGATTATAATACTAACCGTCGTTGTGAGATTCCTTGTCGCTCATGCTAAAAAGCCGTAGGCTTTACCACACTGTACACGCCAGAAAATCTCACCTCACAGGGAAGTCGTGTTGCTGAAAATCAGGACAGATTTCTTTGTAGAATATACACGCATTTGCGTTTTTTTCTGCACAGACTACCTTCAACCAAAGATCCCTTCAACCAATTTCTAACTCTTGGTGGCGCGTTTACTTAAGCGTGTCAATGACTAGATAGACTGCGGGCACATCAGCGACTGTATATGTGGCTCTTCACTAGTGTGTGCGCGCTACCTACCTAAGCCAAAGCCTAAAAATGAACACCAATCAGCCGTACTACTTGATCACTTTGCAAGTTGCTTGAGGCCGCGACGGAGATTGAACTATAAATTGTTCATTGGTTCAAACATCGATTAAACCAGTCAAAAGACATGCAAGTGGATGAGTCTTTTGAACAGCTCCGACGTTGAGTAGTTGACCATACCCTAAATAAAACAGGTCATTCTTCCTTGCGTTAGATTAGAAGTTGGACAAATTCATAAAAGTGGACTTCGCCCGGACTAGTGCTAGCTGTTGATTTATAGTCTCGGTTACTCGTGACGCAGTTTTGTAGACTTTAAAGTAGGCGAAGGAGGCGTGGTTTTAATTAAAGACAAGTTCACACCATGCACTTTCGCATGAGAAGTGGTTTTGTTGCCTGCTGCCAGTCTTGAGATAAGACTTGTCTTCATGCCTCGTGGAAGAAGTTTGGACTTTACTTCCCCCCCTGACTGTCCCTTAAAAAGTCCTCCACACTGAGCCACGATTAACATTAGGCCTAGCATGGTTGTAGCCTTTCATTTAAGGCAAGTTTCTACACTGTATTGTGTAATAAAAAATATGCCTTCAGGCCTGTCAGGACATGGCACCCGTAGAAGTACATCCAGACACCATGTACATGTCATACTTAAATATCACGATCACCACAGTTATGCAAAACAGGTGACATCGTGACGGTGCTGACGTCCTTTGAAACACACCAACCTAGGCTGATTGGAGGAATGTCAAGGCTATGCATATAACTTATAAGGCTGTGTAAGCCTGCACCTTGATACAATAAAATTCTTGTTTGTCATTTAAAGCAAACACAAAATTGATGAATATTTCCACATGCATTCAACTAAACTGGACCTTAGAGTTGTTCTGTTCATAGGTTTATTACTAGATTTTTCTATTTAAATTCTTTCTTTGCATCCTAAGTCTTTGTACTGGCTTGCTACTGATACTTGCCAGGCCTTTCTATTCCAGTTGAGTATTAAAAACATACGGAGTAATTGCAGAATATCCCGCCACTCTAAAAAACGACCCCTGGAATGACTGGTTACGCGGGTACAAGGTGAAAATCCCTTGAGAAGAGAGTGACACTTTGACCTGTACCTGGCTATGAGGTGGCAGGATATACTACAATTGAGCTAAAAACCCCTTGAAGCAAAATAATGAGCGCAGTGGTAGCCGCGGGCCTTAGTCTACAAGTAGGCCTACTACTGCTTCCATTTCCTTGATACAGGACTAACCCCACATCAAAAGATTGCCAAGGTACCGGTATTGCATTAGAATGGCCATAGTAGGGGACTCGCATAGAGCCATCTGAACCAGGCTCTGTCTGAATGTGAGATGATAAACATAATTTTAATTTTATGCGGCCGTGACTTGTCAGAGGTAAATAGGGTGAAGACTTTTGATTGGACTGGCAGTTATCTGCTTCCTATTGTGTGTTAGATCATATCTACCCACGCTGCAGACGGTACCTCGCTCATGCACAAGTACAGTACCTTAATTTTTGTCATTCAGTTGAACTGTCTGCTGGCATGAATGTAAGGGACTGAGCGGAATATCTCATTTCTTTTGAATGTTACCCCCAAATTTACTCTGAGCCATTTTGTAGCTTGTATGTTTAATTTTTACTTTGTTTTTTTTTATTCTTTATTTGTTTTTTTATGGCAAAATTGGAAAGAAAAAAATCTGTGTTTTGCTTGTGAGAAGAAATCATGCGTTGGTTAATGTGTGCAGGCAGTTGGAAAATCGTCTTTACTTCCAAGTCTTGCTTTCTTCTCAATACCAGCAATCGTATATTGCACCCAAAAATGCACATCCTCTGGGCAGTTTTTGGAGAAATTTGTTCGTGATCAAATTAAATATTTCTGTGTTGAGGACTGTGGCTGTAATTTAATTCTCTTTCCTGACAGAAATCCGACCAAAATTAAGCAACCCGGAAGTACCTGAGGCTCTCCACCCCTTCCAATCCTGCTACCTGGTAGGATGGAATCCACGACTGTGTCAGAGGGTGTGCCCCTTCCGGCAGACTGGGCCAAGCTGGTGCCCAACATGCCCACCGGTCCCCTAGACCTCTACCGGCAGAAGGCGTCCTTCGGCTGGAAAGATATGAAGTTGCTCACCGAGGGGGAAGATCAGATCCGATTCCAGGTACTTCATTTGGGACACGATTGTTAGATTTACGCAGTCGGTCAATCACTGCGCTATTGGTCGATCACTGCATTGTCGGTCAGTCTTGCAGCATATGTCGATCCTTTAGCCAACAGTTGAACACCTTTCTAGTTAAGGACTCTGGAATTACGGTTCAAAGAGGGAAGATTAAAATTACCTACCGCATTCACTGATTGGCTAGCACAGCACAATTAACTGCTTGTATGGGTGTTCTGCTCATTCTGGTGACAGCCCTAGATCGAGACCCCAAGTGCATGAAATGATGCCAAACCAAATCTGGCCATACGCGCAAGATTAGCCGCTGGAGTGTCTTTTTTTTCTTGAATCCTTTGCTCCAGATGGTGAAGCTGTTTGAATAGACAGCCTAAGACAAGGGCATTGTATGTCAAATGTTCAGGGCATTATGGCCATTTATAATACCTTTTCCAACTCCCTGAATCTTTGAAATCTGCTGCTACGGAGGAATCTATCTGCATTTACACGTAAACCTTTTCAAGAAGTATTGTACATGAATCCCATTTCAAGAATACATCTGCTGTACCATTTATGATCTTGTAAATCGTTTCTTAGGTTGAATTGGAAGGATATAATGTATTACATGTGTGTTGTATGAAATCTAATTTAAATGTGTCATTTGTGTAATGCTGATTGGACACAAATTCGAGGAAATCGGACCGTCAACTGTCAGTCTTAAAATGGTAGCAAATTGAAATTGCTTTTTGTCCTTAACTACTGTGGGCTCTGGAACGATCTCGATATATCCATCTGACTAGATGGGTAAAAATCTGACGTGGGTACTTCATGTGCATCAGTTTGATGTGATATATTTGTTAGCCATTTTAAGAGCCGAAATTTAGTTGAAAAGTTTGTTCTCATGCAGCCATGGGAACAAATTTTTATTTCACAAGCCGTAATTGTCACTTGAAAAAAACAAAACAGCGTAACTTGTGGAGCATCATGGAAAATGAGGCCGTCTTCCAGCATCTTGCCCCAGACGCCACCATGGCAGAGATGCGGGAGGCCACTCAGAGACGCCTCCATCACCTGATGAGGCTCAACCTCCTCCCCTGGGACAAGCTTTCGGAGCAAATCAACAACATGCAGTGGATGATCGACGGCCTGGGCATGTACGACTGGTCCCTGTCGGCCAAGTACATCTTGAATTTCCAGGTGAGATTTAGCTTTGTGTGGAACAGATCGTGGACCCAGACTGTTGCAACTACCACGAAATGGGGATGCTCGGAAATACCCACAATTCAGTTCAAATTTTTAAAACAGTGAGAATCATTCTTAGGACGTGGCACGATACAGTGGGAATCACACATGTCTGACAGTAGCTTTGGGGACCAGAAAACGTTTTGAAGAAGCACCAGGCGCCCTTCAACTCCATCCAAATGTTCTTTTCAGTAAATATCCTTCCCACGATATGGACCTGCCCAGAGCACACAAAATACACGGCTGTACTTCTACCCGAATTTCGGAGGAATGTCTGAACTCCCAAACTCTCGCAAGTCACTTCTGCTGTGTCAAAGGGTCGAGAAGTGTGTCAGTTTGCATCATCCCTAGTCTCTCCGGAGCAGAAGGAGAGATGTCATCAGTTGACGTAACTCTAATGAACAGAATATGTTGATGGAGTGAAATTAAACAAGAGGATATCTTCAGCTGTTAGTCGAAATCCTGTTTTATTAAGGTCTGGTGAACTCTCATGCAAAGTGTCATCTTTGCTGTTTTTATCAGGACGCTTACGGTGCATAGTACTAGTAAATTGTTGGAAAATGTCAGAGTTGTTGCTAGGTGTTGATGGCCAGAGGGCCTCAGTGACAATTTGCATAGGGCTGGTTTTCTTCCTTTTCCACTCGCAAATTTTAGATACTTTATGTTTAAGAAGCTCTGAGCTTTTGCCCGTATTGCATTGTGTGCACTTTGAATGAAATGTTATTATGGCGGAAGTGTTTGCGAAGGTTTGAGGAAAGCCACTTTTCTTGCAGATGTTTGGAGGATCCATCATGAGTCTAGGCACAGAACGGCACCAGATATTCAAGGACTTATCGGCTACCTTTGAAGTAAGTATCAAAAACGATGGAAATACAGCAAAATTGCTCTAAAATGAACATTGCTCAACTCTTACAAAAATGTTAGGTATTGTGAGTATGGGCGATTCACAGTACAGTGCGCCATCAAGAGGTTGCCACTGAATGCCTGTTTTGTTGCAGTGCATTGTGGGAAATGCACATGTTCTCTTTGCTGGCTGTGCGTGTGGAACTTGATGCTTGGTTGCTTGTCAGGGAAGAAAATTGTGTATTTTGAGTTGCACTATTTATCCGCTCCCAGCGGAACAAAAGAGGGCATGTTTTTTGGTTGTCATGGCGCGCAAGTATATGCGTGTTTGACGCGGAGCACACTGAGTACATGTAAGTAATTTACTCCGGCATATATGGTCTTTGCGTACATGCAGACTACGTGCAAGTCTTTCTTTTCGCCGATTGGGGTGCACTTCAGCTCGGGACGGATTACTCCTTACGTCTTTCTTTTGCATGGGATGTGCTAATCTGTTTAAAAAAAAACATTCCCCAAGTTGTTTTTTTCATGCTCAAATGTGAGTTGCGACAAGGTTGCCATGCTTTCATCAACTTAAAAAAAATGGCCTCTCCATGGCAACGTCTCAGTGGGTTACTTTATTGGGAATCGCCCGTATTGTTCCATTAAGTGAAAAATGACATCAAAATGAAATTTCAGATCTGGACTGAGTGTTTGTGCCATCCAAATTTGCTGTGTGGTGCATGTTACATGTATGACACATGCACGAGTTGCCCTTAAGACTTGAAAAAGTTATTTTTAACCAGGGTTCTTCTGTATTCAGTCTTCAAAGATTGAATTTTGTCGTTCACATCTTCTAAGTGTTGTCTGGAGTTAGAATTGTGAACTATAGAATAGGCTTGAGTCGTTTGAAAACTAGTGGTCTTTGTAACATACAGATAACAAGTAACAATAGCTGTCATTAATAATAATGCACATCTGTAACTGTAAAGATAAGGGCATTTTAGGAAACCTTTGACCAAGGTACAGAGACTGTCTCCAGTTATCATGTTAACTGGGGAGGTCAGGGACCTTTTAAAGCCCCAATTTAAGGAATGGGCAAACATGAACCCATTAGTGGTTGTAGAGAGGGTAACATCACCTCCATTGCAAAGAACCTGTGTACACATTTGGACCCCGAAATTAATGGAGGACATCATGGTCTTACATGTATGCATCCCAGCCAGTGCGTTGACAACAGTGACCCACATTCCATAGCTGCTATATCCGGTTGTCGCACGGCGTCATGTACTTTTTGTGCATGTGGTCCATTTCAGTTTTGCACGTTGCAGTCCTTTTCCCTTTTACTGTAACCCTACCCCCCCAGATCTGTGGTTGTTTCTCTCTGACGGAGCTCTCCCACGGCAGTAACACCAAGGCGATCAGAACCACAGCCACATATGACCCCACATCTGAGGTTGGTTTGTAGACATGAAATGGTTGTGAGATAAAAAGGCTGCTAATGGGTTTTTCAGTGTAAATTACAAGCAGTATTTCAGTCAGACATTATCTTATTTCCGTTTTGCAATTTTTGTCTCTTTAAAATGTGTAAAGTAGGTTCCAGTTTAAGTCAATGATTAAAAAAGGAACAATAAATATAATTGTCATGTTTAGAAAAACTGTGCTTGTCAAAAAGATTTACATAACCAAAATACATGCACTGATACCTCCCCCCATGAAAACCCACCGATTTGAAAATCTAAGAGAAAAACAAAAAGCTTTATGCAGGAACGACTTTTTAAATATATTTTCAGTGGTATTTTTGAATATAAGCCTAGCTGTTTATATACACGACCCACTTCCCTTTTTACTCAAAAATTCCTTACTGCTGAAAAGAAGCTTTGAAGTATGCAAATTTTATGTACATGAACAAATCTTTCAAACTAAAATCAATTTGATTGGAGTACATTCTTCACGAGATGGTGGTATTATCCAAAAAGATACCGTAACACAAACTTTCCCAAGAAAACTTTTTCTTGATTGGTTACATGTGTGACCCATTCTTCGGCTAAGTTTTACCAATTTTGTGCATGACGTCTTTCCGTGTTTCATTGATGAGCAGGAGTTTGTTTTCAACACGCCTGATGTGGAGGCCACCAAATGCTGGGTGGGCCTGATGGGCAAGACGGCCACCCACGCCCTGATGTACGCCCAGCTCTACACCCCCGATGGGGTGTGCCACGGGCTGCACCCCTTCGTCGTCCCCCTGCGGGATCCCAAGACCCTCCAGAGCTACCCAGGACTGGTGCTGGGCGACATGGGCAAGAAGATGGGGCAGAATGGACTGGACAATGGGTATGGGAGAAATTTTTCTCACTGGGGTCCATCACGCTGCAGTTTCCTTCTGTAGTGTGGTCCATGGGTTTTTCAGGCTTTTTGGCAACCGGCATCACGATAAGCGACATTTGCTCTCCTGGATGTACAAATTTCTATTAACCATAGTGCTCAGATGATTGTGAAAATGTATGCCGGCATCAGGGGCAATACGTGCATGTGCAAAATATATGCCAAAAATGTCACATATCATTTTCCATGTAGAAGAATTTTTTCTTCCTCACACTGTGGTATAAACATTTGCACTTCTTAGCAGCTATGTCCTTGTTTGTTTGGTAACAAACAAAATGGCCTCCATGTGAAAGAGAGGCTGGCATTTACAGCAGTATACAAACACACACCGCATCTCAACAAAAGTGAAAAAGGAGGACATAATCTCAGTTGAGGGATCATCGGAAACTGAATTGTGCAAAAGTCGCCGACAGTACTCTCAGTTTGTTGGGCTGAAATATTTGTGGTGGAAAATGATACCAAATGAAATATCAGTTATAGTTTAGCGATTAAGAACCCTCTTGTCATTCTTGTTGCTGTTACAGCTTTGTGTCTTTCAACGATTACCGTATTCCACGAGTCAACCTCTTGAACAGGGGTGGTGACGTCACACCCGAAGGGAAATACGTCACACCGTACAAGGTGCGTCTTGGCCGAATAGGGACCAGGGAGTAAACTTCACTTAGAAACAAGTCAAACTGTTGTTTTTGACCCTCATCCAACTTGTCTGCAATTCCTCCTGTCTTGAGATGATCTCCCCGTTACTTCGGCACAATGCTTCTACCATCCTAATAACATGAAATATGACACCCAACTTGAAGTAAAATTAGCACCATCGCATGTAGTTACTGGTCTAATAATCATTTTAGGCCTACTCATTTGGCTGATTAATACTTTCACATTTTATTTAATAAGGCTAATTAAAGCAATGAATTTTGTAGAATGGAAAAATAAAGTACCCAAACTTCATTACAAAGTTCTAAGAATGTATCGTTATATTTTGGAAGATCAAAGAAAGTTCCAGGCAAAAATGCCCAGATATTGAATTCATCTTCTGACTCATACTAAATAATAAATATTGAAACACTGAGTTAATGGTTCCTTTTTGTCCCAACATAGGACCCTACCAAGCGGTTCAGTTCAGCTCTAGGTGCCTTATCAGCCGGCCGTGTAGGAATCATCAGCATGGCTGTCGTCAACCTGAAGAAAGCCTTAACCATCGCGGTACGGTACTCAGCGGTCCGCAAGCAGTTCGGACCCACAGATGCAGAGGAAATCCCTGTTTTAGAGTACCAACTCCAGGTACTATGCTCTCTCGTAGTTGTGTTCCTTGCGATGAATTTCGGGACTAGTTTGATTTTTGAGGATGGGTACGTGCTCTGTTGCCTTGTTTGAGTGAAGCTTGGGTGTTAAATCTTATGTGTACTGTAAATTTTGCCTGTCACATTCTGTTTTCCATTAAAGAGAGACGATAACGAGAAGGGACACTGCGTAATGAAAATCCTAGATAAGATTGCAAAATAGTATTATCAGAGATGAGCTCTCTTTTCTCATGTCTGAACACAAGGTGTGCCCCTTTTCATGTTTGTACACATTTTACCGAAAATTGGCCACAAGCAACCTGCCATTTACATAGGGAGTGGATGCAGCGGGTCTCTCATGTGGGTCTTGAAGGCTGCATAGCACCTTCTGTCGATCCTGCGTGGCATCCGCAAGGAGTGCTGCTGTAGACTGATTGCCTCTTCACCTCAGCCAATGTCACACGGCATCTTATCTCCTCACACAGCAATGGCGTTTGCTCCCCCATGTGGCTGCCATGTATGTCCTTCACAGCTTTGCCAACTACATCGGGGACCAGTACCACGAGTTCGTCATCGGCAATTTCCTGAGGGACAAGAGCGAGAGGCAGGTGGGTGTTTGAAGTTGCTGTTGCTGCAGATAAACAGTTTTCATGAGAAGACACACTGGTGGGCAAAGCTTTGTTGTTTGACTTTTCCTTCATGTCGCAGTAGCCAAGATGTGCTTTTGTCTCAATTCTGGCTCACCAAACTGGCCACGCTGTTAATATTTGAGTCGGAGGGGCAGAAGGTCATTGGTTGAGTAGAGTTGGTACTCTGAGTCCTCAAAAATTTGCATCAAAGCCTGCCATCAAGTATGAGTTTTTAATTCCTGCCTTAAGTCACAGTCACAAGTGTGCACAGAAGTGGAAAAATAACCCTTACCTTGTCTTTATTTTTGGTGGCATTTTTTTGTGATTTTCAGTTGTATGCTCTGGGAAACACCATCGGGGAATAACTCTGTGTTAATTCCGACCTTGGTTTCATTAAAGCGATGCAGTTATCAGTGGGCAGTTTTGAAGACAGGAGTACTTCCATAAGATGTTAAAAAGAGGATACTGCCTCAAGATAGTTAATTACTAAAAAAAATCAGGCACTTTGCCAGACAAGTTTGCTTCCCTGTCCCTAGAAAGGGAATGAGTTGAAATTCATTTGACCTGGCATTTTTACCTACACATTACGATGACCTGAAACACAAGTCTCGTTGTCATGTTGCTTCCCCCAGGCCAGGTTTAGTCGCGAGTTGCACGCCTACTGCAGTGCTGGTAAGCCGCTGGCTACCTGGGCAGCCCGAGATGCTGTGCAGGAATGCAGAGAGGCTTGCGGGGGACACGGCTTCCTATGGGGTGAGCCGTAGCCATAAGATGAAGATTGTTTCCCATTCACCGATGTATGCTCTGTGCTGTCTGATATTTGGTCAGGGAAAAGGCCTTGCTTACTTCCACAGATTTGACTTAAGTGCTCCACAAATCTCCCCAAAACATGGTTGCCAGCCAGGCAACTGCTTTCATTAAAAGTGGTTGCCCAGTGTTTCAGCTCGGTAGCCCAGATTATCAAACATTGCTCGCGAGTGGCATTTTGCAGTAAACGTTGAAACAGTGTCTGACCACAAAATACCATACTGCACTCAAACAGAAAAGATTTGACATCATGTCTGGCTGACACACGGTCAACTTTGCTAAAAATGTGGGTCAATTATTTCTTGTACCAGGTACTTATATTATTGTTATTTTGCTTATCTGAAATAACCACTGTTTAACAAAAATGTCTAGCCACAAAAACAGGAGGACCTAGACAGTTTGTTCAGGCTATCACTGTCTCGATTACTGCAAAAACCCATACACATAAAGTCGTTATGGTCATAATTCGTTGAACACTCAGTTGTTGTACGTGTTTGCTACACACAAATCACAGACTGGAATTGAAGTATAGGGAAGGTAGTGAGAATGTAGTGCCCGCTGAATACGTCGACCGCCAGAGACACGCTTTTTTCCCAGTGCCCCGCGCTATGTAGAAATCAAATCGTTGTACTTCTTCACAAATTCTCCATACACGGGGGGGTTAGTCTGATTCCCAGACCTGAGGAATCGTTGGCAAATCTGCAGGCTAGGTCAGGGAACCGGACTAGGTACATGTACAGTTTGTACACATGACACGCAACTCAGGCAAAACTTCAAGGCAAACCTTTCGCTGAAATTCATGAGTTTGATTGAGGAATTCTTTGTTTTTATTTCTCTTAAAACTGTATTTATCAACTGAGATACAAAATAATAGGAAGCAGAGAAAAGTTAGCACTGTACTTATGCCAGATTTGTCCACGGACAACCATTTGTGGAAATTCTTGTTGTCCAGAAAGAGTTTTTTGGTTGTCCCAGGCACCTGGACTACTAATTACTTATCAAAGACTGGACTTGAACGCATGACCTCCAGCTTTGTTGTGCAGAACTGCAGATAGCTTAACCACTCGACCGCTTGAGATTGTCAGGATTGTTTGGCAGTGTCGGTTAGAACGTGGGCCCAGTCAGTGCTGAAGTATTCCCAAATAGGCTGAATAACAAAATTCAAAGAGCTGATGCGTGCTGTATAAGCCAGCTTCATCAATTCTGACATTTATTGGTCTGTGGCTATGTACGTCATCCTCAAGTCTGGAGTTGTTTTGAACAGTTGAAGTATTTTGTTATTGCTTGACAGCGAGTGGTTTTGGTGAGATTCGCAATGACAACGACCCCAACTGTACTTACGAAGGTGACAACAACGTCCTACTGATACAAACCAGTAACTATCTGATCAGCCTAGTGCAAGCTAAGCAAACAGGTAGGTCAGATCGATACAAGCTATTGCGGCATTTTTGCGAGGAATACTCCATGATTTCTAAATTTCCCATTGGGCAGACACCCAAATTGTACACTTGAGATAAACCTCCTGCAAGATCCTCTGAAACCACCCTGGCTGATTTTGAACCATCTGTGAATACTGAGGCTACGTAATCCTAACTTTCGGAACATTTCTTTTGGACTATGATCATTTAGGCACTCTGGGACAGACCATGCCCTCCAGTTGTGGGGTTTGGCCTTATGAAAAAGGAATGTTTTTAATATCCTCGCAAAGCACTTTTACACCAGGTTACCGATCTTTGCTAAAATGATTGTATGCTCATGATATTTCTTAACTTTGTATGTTGGCCAGGCTATTCTTGGTAATTAGTTTGCATGTCATTTTCACAGATGATGTGAAGATATGGGCCCCCATGGAGACGGTCGATTTTCTGGACGACATGGAGTCTGTACGCAGTTACCGCTTCGACTGCACCAGCGAAAGCAAAGTGATGGCCCCCGAGGGTAAGAGAAATGTCCAGGTTGAGTTTCTCAATGACAAAAAAAGCTTGCACCAACTGATCTCCACCCATTTATGCTGAAATGGCCTTAAGACCGCTTCAAGCTTAGTACGAAAATGATTGCAATCTTGAAATTGTGCTGTCTTATCAAATAGTTGTGCTATGAATTTGCCAAAGTTACTCAATGTGACTGAAGCGAATCTAATAGCTGCAAATGTTTTGTGACGTTAAATTAAAAATCTGAGCATGCAGTTGAAGCTTATGAAAAGAGATACGACATGCACCTTGAGCATCTGTATTGATGGATATTGGCGCATTATAAATTTCCATTATTATTATTATTATCATGTACATTGTTTTTAGAAAATGTGACTGTCTGGAAAGGTTGGTTTCAGTTTATTAAACCTTGGCACAAAAGATTACTAGAAAATGAAAAAGTGAGATCACAAATGAATTAGTGCTAACCTACCATAGCATTTTTCC